GTGGATAAGCAAGTTATGGGAGAACGGAGGAAAGCGATTTTTGAACTTTTATTTTGAAAGTGCTGTTGAACCCCAGTGTGCATTGCTTCCGCGTAATTTGCTCGTGCTAGCAGTGTTAGCGAGTGAAATAAGAAAAACTGCGGATTCATTTACGTTTTTCCAACTACTTTAAACAAATATTAAAAAATGTCATTTCCCGAAACACTACCTGGTTAAAAAAATCTCCACTAGGTAAGCTCAAAAAGTTACTTTTGACTTATATAAAGTAACGTACGTTAATATTAATATTTTCGTTACAAATGAAAAGAAACTTGCTCTCGTATTTATATCGCCTAAGCTTTAACCTAATCTAGGGAAAAAAAACCTCTTACGTAAAATAAAATACTGAACATGAAATAGGCGCTTGAGATATTTTGTATTTAAGTGTTGTCCCGACATGCCTCACTTCACAGGTCCTGTAACTGATGGCGTTTCCTCAGCCCAAACCTCAGCCTCCTCAGCTTCCTCAGCATCTTCTGAGGACCATTAACTGTCAGCAAGGAGCTGTGAGGGCAGTTCGCTTCAATGGTACGAGTCATAATCCCAGCTTTTTTACAATTGTTTTTAGAGATTTGCTACTTTTTACCCCCTTCATTTGAAGTCTGCTCCTTTTGTGTTGCTATTTTCAGAAGGTCTGGATGGAATCAAAAAGTGGCAGAAATCCCAATAAATCAGTTTTGTGTCACCCATACAAACCTGGATTAACACAACAGATAGATTGGATTACTCAAATGGCATATTTCCCTCACATACAGTTTTAGATAAATTTAGAAACAATATTATGGAGGGGCAGGGCTAAAGCATGCAACACAGACTGTCACAGGTTTGAGTCCCACGTCCTCCCACCCCCTGTCACCTGGCTTCCTGTCTGAACACTGTCATATAAAGACCACTAGAGCTGCACAAACAAACAAAAAACAATATTGTGGACATTTCAGAATTTAGACAAAAGCATAAGAAAATACAGCAGTGTATGACAATGCGCTCATGTCCCTCTTTCTCTTGTTTGCTGTATGTCTTTCCAGTGGATGGAAACTACCTGTTGTCTTGCGGCAGTGACAAATCCCTAAAGCTGTGGAGCGTCGGCCGAGGGACGCTGCTGAAGACCTACAGCGGTCATGGATATGAGGTTCTGGACGCTGACAGGTGAGGGAGTTTGCTTCAGTTTTCAGAAGTAGTTATTTGTGCACAGGATGGGATAAAGAGTGAATACCAAAAATGCAGGAAGTATCAAGACGAAGATGCAATAGGCGGTGCTGTCTTTAATCATGATAATTTTGGGGCAAATTGTCCCATTCAACCAAAACATCCGACAGTCAACACGCTCCCTCTGCAGAAAATAATAGTTATGTTCCTTCTTGCCTCCTGTTTTGACAGTTCCTATGACAACAGTCAGCTTTGCTCCTGCAGCTCTGACAAAACTGTGATTCTGTGGGATGTTGCAACGGGTCAGGTCACACGCAAGCTCAGAGGACATGCTGGGGTGAGTTAAAATCACTTACTATATTAAAAATGTAAACAGCCCTGTAAATCCTACACGTGCCTCCATATTTTGATCCATCATTGATACAATTTTTTTCTTTTTAATTCTCTTTGCAGAAAGTTAACTGTGTGCAGTTTAATGAGGAGGGAACGGTCATCTTATCCGGTGAGTCATCACGCTGGAATGACGCCATTTGGGTCACAAGTTGGAAGGTTTACATTTCTGGTGTTTATTTTTTATTTATGGAACTGCTTCTTTTCAAATGTAATTTTCTCCATGTGTGAGTTGTCATTTTTTAAACTTTGACTGTATGTAGTGTTACAGTACTCTTTTAATGCAGATTTTATTTCTGATTTTTATGGTTTTTGAGGGTTTTTTTCTTATCTTTCCCCACCATCAGGCTCCATAGATGGCACAGTGAGATGCTGGGACACGAAATCCAGAAGAAACGAGCCCATCCAGGTTCTAGATGAGGCTCGCGACAGCATAAGTAGCCTTAAAGTTTCACAACACGAACTGCTCACTGGGTCAGCACATCAGAAATGAATTACCACATTTATTGCAAAGAAGCCATTACCTCCCCAGGGTCCTAACGTCGTTCAGTAACAGAGTTTGCCGTTTCTTGCGTTTAGGTCGGTGGACGGCAGAGTGAGGCGTTACGACCTGAGGATGGGACAGCTTCACGTTGACCTCATCAGCAGTTAGCAGCTTCATTTCAGTATCTTTGTGAAATTCTTTTTAAGCAGGGGAAATAAAAACTGAAATGTGTTACTACTGCGTACGTCTGTGCGTTCCAGGTCCCATTACGTGCGTGTGTTTCAGTCAGGACGGGCAGTGCACCCTGAGCTCCAGCTTGGATTCAAAAGTGCGACTTCTGGACAAGAGCACTGGGGAAATGTTGGGAGAGTGAGTGCTTATATATACATATTTAATGTTTGTGGTCTCATCGCAGCTTAATATTTCCTATCAGAAAAAGCAAAACAGAAAAAAATGGTTTTCATGATAAACATCAGGGGAAAAAATGCTATTAAGCCACAACGGTTAGTTTGCATTCATTCCCTCAGTCTTTTTTGCCTTTGAACTAAATAACTTGGGTCAAACATTTTGCTGCCACCTGTTGGGTTGGAGCAAGCATCCCGCTTTTTCCACCAAATGTAATTCTCAGTATAATTTCACATTTTACTCATAAGATCTAAACTGTTATATATTTGTAGATGTATCAAGTTCACATTTTCTGTCATACTGACCTGTAGCGTTAATATCCTGCTAAAATATATGTTGAATCTGTGCAACCCACAAAAATACCAAAAAATGTTAATTTTGTTGTTTTTTTTGTGTGTTGGAACAACACATTATGTATATTAGATGCAATTTGAACAATTAAAAAGAACCTAGGTCAATAAAATGTGTTTATTTTTACTTTTAAAAAAGAGGCTAGATTTAAATTGTTTTAGGTAAATGATTTGGTTTGTCTGCTGATGTGGACTTGTGTAGATACACTGGACACAAGATGAAGGGCTACAAGTTGGACTGCTGCCTGTCCAGTAAAGACACCCACGTGTTGAGCTGCTCAGAGGACGGACACGTCTACTGCTGGGACCTGGTGGAAGTAAGCGGGAAGCTAAACAGCTTCACTGTTCTCTTGAACGTTTACATTTTAAAAACTTAATGTAATCTTTTAAGATCGAAATCTGACCAAACACGTCTCATATCCGTCTGAAACCGCAGGGGTCGTTGTCGTTAAAGCTGCCGGTGGGAAAAGCAGTCGTCCAGTCGCTGTCTTTCCACCCGACAGAGACCTGCCTCCTCACTGCCATGGAGGGCCGCGTTCAGGTGTGGGGGGCACAACCAGAGGAGGCGCAGGACGACACCCCGGTCAGTCAGAATGGCTGAATGGACTTGAATTCCTCTATTAGAGACGTAAAATGTAGTAACATGAACTAAAGAAGTTTCCTTTTTTTCTGATATTCAACATCTGTCCATGTAAGCTCTGGGCTTTTCGTCTGGAATTTGCTCTAAATTAAAAAAATATGGGATCTTTTCTTTAGCAAACCTGTCAGACATAATACATTTGAACCTTTGAATTGTCATTAAAAAAAGACCAACATTTTTTATCGATATAAAATACTTGATCAAAGGAAATAAATCACATATCACTCTTGTTTTTGGGGTTATTTGCTTTTATCCGGGTTTGGTTGAAGGTGAAGTCGTCAAATAGTAGAAACAAGACACTGGAAAAGTTGAAACTATGCAGATGAATTCTGATTGTTTTACCTGTTTTGAATATAAATTTTTTATCAACCACAATATTTGATTTGAAAAAAAAAAGTTTAATACAGTAATGTAACAAACTGAATTGCAGTTTTTCTATACCCGGACTGCCCCCTTGTTTTGTTGACTAAGTATTTTTACTACATCTAACCGATTGCAATATATTTTATAGCAGGGAAACTTTGTGATCGTCATAATAATAGAATAAGACCTTACAGACTTCTTGTCTCACTGTGGAGTTCAAAAAGATGAACCCTGCATTTCTCTAAGTTGATTATAATAGAGAAAATAATTAGAATATTTTAATATTATAACTGAAAAGACTCCACATGTCCTACATCTTTATGCATGCAAATTTCTTTAAAGAGACTGTAACTCTGCAATGTAAACAGATGACTACAAAATATAATGCAAATTTCAAGAATAATACCCACTGAACTAAAACAGAAAATAATTAACTGATGTAACCTATTGTAACCTATTACATTATGCATATTTTAAAAATTCAGCTTATTTAAGGCATGTTGACGCTGTCAGCATCAGGACAGTGGATAATTGACCCAATACAAAAAAAACCCACAACACTGTAACTTTGCATTTGTTAATGTAAACCGAAAAAGCTCATAAAAAGCATGACTTGATAGAAATACACATAGCATAAATGAAACCACATCATGTTTAATGCATTTTACATTAACTGAAAAAAAAAGTAAACTTTAATTAAACATGACTCCATTACAAAATAAATTAATCTGATCTAAAAAAAAACAAACAAACATTAAATAAATAAATATCTTTAGTTTTCACATATGTACACTTTATGTAGCTGAACAATTTTGGAGCTTAATTCAGCATCGTTTCTAAATTGGGAAACATTTCTAAAGAGCTACGTTTTTTTTTTTTTTTTTTTTAATAAATAGGTATTAGCTTATTTACAATTCTCTTGTAATTCAAGTTAAAGCGTTGGTTCCATTTTACCTTAATTGGAAATAACATGAACTCACAAAGCAATGCTTCTTGGAAATCTAAATCTTGGATAAAACAGAAATGTGAGTCAAACATTAGAATCTGCTTATGAAGGCTCTTTTCTGAGAAAGAAAGTTGAGTTATTTGTTTTTCATTTTGGAGTAAGTCAAATCGTCCTCTCCAGATATCTTTAGCTCCCTCTCACCTGCCCCTTCCTTATGCCCCTCGATCCGGGCTGTTTTTAATCTGCACAGCCGCAACCGGCGGCAGAGAGTTTCTCCACCTTGTGCCAGCGGTGCGAGTTGTCGAGGAAGGCCATGTCCTCGTAGTGAGTGGGCCTGCAGCACGGCACGCTGTGCCACGGCTCTCCGGGGGCCGGCTGCGGAAGCCGCCCGCTGACCAGCAGGTTGCTGAGCGTGAGGTCGTAGTTGGAGCGGGCGCGGGGGCAAGACCCCCCGCAGTACTTGAACAGGACCGTCTCGTCCGAGTCGTAGCCCAGCCCCAGGTCCCGCACCTGCAGCAAGACAGAGTGGAGGCCGCACTGGGAGTCGGGAGTGGAGCGCCGGGTCCGGACCGGGTCTGGCTCATCCGCAGAGGCTTCCCTTTGGATTTCTTCCGTTGTTTTTCTGTCCTCGTCTGAAGGCAACACAGGTTTCTGCTTTTGGCCTGGAAAGGACAAATTTATCAACCTTTAACAGCACCCTCCTTAACTTATTTGTACTATCCCTAAATCGATGAGTCACGATGTCCCCACTTACCAATCAAAGACCTCATCCAGCGGCCTTCTACCTTGCCGACGCAGAACAGAATCACGAGAACCTTCAAAAAGGGTTTCATGGTCACGGGTCTGGTCTTCGTCAAGTTCAGTCCCTCGAAATGAACCGGAGACGTCTGCGTACGTCCGTTGAGAAGTGATGGAGACGAGACACGACCTCCGATATATATATATCCCTCCGGGATGAAGAAGGTGGGGAGACAAAGAGATGAGACGAGGAGATGTAGGGGGAAGACCAGACACTAACCCGTTACTTGCCAGCCGAGTCTTTCTCACTCACCTGAGACTGACGGAGAGCGTAGGAGGGGCAGGTGGGCGCTTGACCCAGAATTTGTCCTGTTGGGATTTTATGCGTTGGTGTAAATCACAAAGTGTTTCCCCCACAGGTGTGTTTTCCAAAGCAAGCCGGCCTCTAACGGTTTGGGTTCCCTAAAAGTTGATGGTTTTATTTTTTTCTAGAAGACATTTTGGACAGTTAAGTTACAAGAAATATGAGCGATGAATGAATCAGTTCAAAGCCAGACAGATACGCTTGAGAGTCAAATATCTTTGAGACAAAAATGTAAAAAAATTACGAGTATAGGAAACGTGAAAACAAAAACACGTTTGCTAAAAGCCCCTCTGAGTTATTGTGGAATTACCTGTGGTAAAGTCTGCTTTTTGTCTCTAATCCCAGTCTACATGCTAAATCCAGGAGACAGAGGAAAGGACATCAAAAGGCCGAGCAATAAAGAAAAGAAAGAAAAGGAATCAGAGTTTTATAATTAGAACATGGCCTGGTGCAGGAGGAATTCCTCAATGGGTGACTCCTCTTGAGCTGGTCCATAAATTGAGGGATTTCACCAGCAATGTGTGGCTGACATGTAGAATATGTAGAATATGTATTATGCAATGATTTCAGGGCCCAAACGGGCAGCGAGTGGAATTCAGCGATTGAAAACCAGGAAGACGCAGGGCAAACACCTCAACTCCATATTTGGCAAACCAAGTCCTTGAGACAGAGAAGAAAGACTGGCTGATTTATTTTTTATGGTTGTTTCATTCACAGATGACTGAGAAAATATATTTTGATGATTACATGCTCACTGTGACACCAAACCGGAACATTTAGAACCGTCGACACTTGCACAATTCCTTGGATTATTCGTGCCCCTTGAAATTTTTCCACACTCTTCAATTTCTAGGGACGTCTTTATGAGGTACATCAGCATGAATGAGAAGTACACTTTATTTCTTATCTTTTTATAGATATAAACATCAAATGCAGGATCTATTTTTCATCTAATCATTTCATTTTTTACACAAAGTAACAACTATGTTAAAATATGCAGCAGATTCAAACATTTCATTGCTTAGGATGAGATAACGTAGAATTTCTTAATTGGTGAATTAGTGAATTTGAGCCAAGGGAAGCTAAAATACCAGTTTTGGTTAAAACATATTTACTGACAAAGTTGTTTTCATCTTAAATTGCAAAATGTATATTGTTTTTGGATACCTTTGGCTCTTTACTGCTCTGAATGTTTTTTTTATTTCTTTCAGAAAATTGCCTTCTTTTCTGAGTCTAATTAATCCTTTCATGCCAAAGTCAGGGGAGCTGTTGCTGTCTGCCAATCTGGGAATATTTATAAGACAAAAATGTTGCTCATTCTAGAGTAAAAAACATTATTCATGAGTTCAAATGATCCAAAATCAGGAGTGGATGTCCCTGCATCTTCACCTAATGGTCAAAAATAAAAGAAAGGAGTTTAATAAAAGTAGTTTATTTCAAAAATAATGGTAAAATACAAACTATGCAAACTTTAGTAGAGTGCAGGGACTGTATTCAATGTTGTATTTTTAAGCACATAATATCTGACTTCTGTTAGAATTTTTTAGACAAACGCAGCATGTCCAATAAAGCTCTTACCATATTTATGATTTTTAAACAGGCCCATCGATTACGACTCCGTTGATGTGATTTACTAAGGAATTATCCCTAAATCCTAAAATAGAACTAGCTACCAAAATTTACTGCAAAGAATTTTAGTACTTCTTTTCAGGATGATAGTTTTGAGCTTGCATATGATAAATGATTTGATGAAAATGGAACAGGTGTGCAAACAAGTCGAAGATTACTCAAACTCTCCAATAAAAGTTACTCTTTAGTTTCTTCTCACCTCATCCAAAATCACACATTAGCTCAAGTAGACAATATATCCAAAAGTAGGAACTGGATCTGAGTTTGGAGGTGAACATTTGATGCTTTTGATGACCATTATACTCCTGATCAAAATGCTAAGACCAGATGAAAAATGGTCTCAACATCAGCCACATTTTTTTTTTTTTTTTTTTTTTGAAGAAGAAGCTGCAATCGGGAGCCAGCTTCAGCGACCGCTTCGTCCATGACGGTCAGCATCTGTGACACACATTCTGTCTGAGTGTCCTAACAAAATAATAAAGTCAGGAGTAATAGCATTGTTTTCTAATAAAGTTGCCAAGCTTCAACCCTTCAGGTTGCAGGTCGCCCTCTTTGTTGAGGCCAGTGAAGTTTAATGTTAACCAATAAATACTTAGAAGAATCAGAGGTTGAACGAGTGTCTAAACATGGGACATTGAAAGATGGAAGAAAGTTCTATGATATGATTTTTAAAAAATGCGATCTTAATGTCTTGCAACAATCTTGATGTCTTGCAACGTTACCAGCATGACAAGGAGGTCGCACCTGAGATGTTTTCTACATGGCACAGTGGAGGAGGCGCAACCCTGATCTGGGGGACCTTTTCCTGCATTGGGACAGTGGAGCTTCAAGTTGTGTTGTCAGGCAAAGGATTTCCTCTGTAGAAATAACATCACTCTTTTGTTCCCCTCATCTAAATCCATTTGAGGACATTTGGGGTTGAATGGCAAGGGAGGTTTACAAAAATGGACACCTGTTCCAGAAAGTGGATGCCCTCCATAAAGCCATTTTTACCATTCTGAGCAACATTCACATAATGAGACCGAGCTGGAGCTGTTTGAATTGTCTGGCACTAAAAGTAGTTTAGATGATGTTTGGTAGAGTGGGACTATCTTAGAATATTTTGTAATAATAAATCAAAGCAAAAAGAAATCATATGTGGGGTACCTCAGGGTTCTAGTATTGAGTTACTTTTAATAACACCAGTGTGATTCTTCTAGCTCAGGTTATTGAGTATAACATTTTCTATCATTTCCATGATTAGCATGCAATATTTAACAAATCAAAAATCATTTTGGTCACTCTAACTGATCTAAAAAAACAAGAGAGAGAGAAGTTTGATTTAAACTTCAGACGGTAAAAAAAGAAAAAAATAGATGTAGGTGTATTTCTTTTTCAATTTGGTGTTCACTTCTGGTTTCACCTTTTCAGAGCAGATCAATTAATCTGTGACTTGGAAACGTATATTAAACTCACACACATTAAACAAATGTAGTTGGCGCAGTTGGGAGCAATTGCTGCTGCTTTTTCTTTCACTAAAAATGGAAAATAAAGACAAAGTGGCAGAGGACCAGACATATTCACATTCCCAAGGATACAGAAGAATTAAGGCAGAGTGACAGATAAGAAGACAAAGGGAAGCCAGAGGAGGTGGTGGGAGAAATACAGTGGAGATAAAGCAATCCTGGTGGATTATAGTCTGAGGGACTGGTCTGGAATTCAGCATAGTCAGAAAAGAGGAATGGGAAGAATGTAGCAAGACTTTCCGGAACTGTCGGAAAGAGAGAAAAGGCTGAAATAGTTGACAGAATTTCGCAGGTTATCAGTTACCGACACACTGTCAGCACATCAGCATACCCTGGAGGTGTTATGCACTTACAGTAGCATGAGAACAAAGGTTAAATTAAACAACAATAATAAAAAAAATATATATATATATAGGCCTATATATAAAGTTGAGACTGAGCGCTCAACTTTTATTTATAAAAGCATAAGGCATCAAAAGTAATGAAAATCTGATTTATTTACAGATGTTTTAGGGGGATATTCTTGAACTTTGCCCTGACTGGCGATGTAGAGTTCAAGTATTGTTTCTAATAAATCACTTATTTTGCCTCTTATGGTTCCATTTTGAAGCTCTGTCTGGTTCGCTACCATTAAATGCTAACCTACATACGCACAGAAACTCCCCACAAGCAAAGGAAAAGTTGTCCCAAGCTTTTGACCCATATTTAGTACCAACTTCATAACAGGGAAAACATGCAAATAGAATGTTAAAAATGAAAAAAGAATGTGAATGTATGTAGCTGATGTGTCACTTTCGTAAGACAAGTCCTCTGCTTTAATAAACAGTTTTTGCTTAATTGCTCTACTTTACAGACTTGGAAAATATTTATATTATTTTTCTCATTGACAATTTTTGTTATATGAAAGTGTATGTGTAATTGCAATTTAATGCTAAGTTTTTAGTTTGTGTATTTTAGATAAATATCTGCACTAGTGGGTATTTTTTAAGCCCGACGTGGTCAGTTTGCGCTTTGCTTCATCAGAAACAAACCTTAAAAAGTTTGTGCTTAGAGTCGAAAGAAAATGGATCCGAGGGACAATGATCACAAAACTGAAGAATGACCTCAGCTTGCTACAGCAAACCAAATATGTTAGAGCTTCAAAAATAAGCATGAAAGACTTGATGTCTGATAACTACCACTGGTTTGTCGGTTGTGACTGGTGTTTGTAAGAAACATCAATATCCGAGGCGCTTACTGTAGGTGTCATGACTTCAGCAGCCATGTTGAAAAGGTATGCCGGCATTTGGCCTGGAGGATGACACTACACCAATTAAAAGGGGTGTGCTGTGCATTCCTGACCTGAGCTGGTCGGACAGCCAGCCCATATAGGGACCGTCTGAGCCGAAAGGGGGCAGGAATGTGGGGAAGCAGTATTTCCAGTAAGTGGAAATATTCACGGAGGACTTAGCCTTGGAATCTCAAACTTGCGCGGAGCGACTCCTGTTTACGCTGTAAATCAGCTGGTCAGAGCCGAGACGCTCGACCGTTTGTCACGAAGGCACAAGAGGAGGAATGTGCAGGTTTGTGCTCCAGCTTTTATCGTGGATCAGGTGATGGTGCAGGGATAAAAATCTGGTTGAGGAGAGCGCCGCCAGATGGAGGTCATGGAGCAGTGTCACGTTGGCTGTAAATGTCTGCTGGCGTAATGATCTCGGATATTCTAGGTGAGAGTTTTTCTGCACTAGAGGAGTTACATTTATTCACTACTCTTGTTGCTGTTCTATCATTGTGGGTTTTCATTCTACTAAGTATAGTTAAAAAAACAGAAGAGCGGCAAAAGCAAAGGAGATGGATTAGCAGTGCTTGGCAACAACTGAAGTCATCATCCAGGACATATTGAGCTGTTCGCATGTTGTCTGAAGACTGTCACTCTGCAACAGTCTTCAGTCAGAGGCCTAATCAGATATGTTGCAAGACTGAATGCTACCACAAAGCGATCCTGTCACACAGAGATAGCTTGATTAATGAATTAGCTATTAGCAGCTCATTTTGCTTCCAGCATTGAGTCAATTGCAAAAAGCCATAAAGTTTAACATGACAACCACATTTACTTTAAAACAAGAAATTCAGCAGGTGTTTGTCCTATGCTGTTGCTTATTTCTATAAATAAAATGACAGTTACCTTTTTGTTTTAGATAAATGCAATTAGATACGCTATACTTTTGTGTAACTATATTACTGTTTCAACTAAAGGTTGTCTCGCTGTAAGAATCTTGTCAGCCAAATGTCAACAGAAACAGAATTTGGCTTAAAATCATTGAAATGGTCATCAGAATCAGAAGAGATGCAGTACAATAATCCCCAACAGAATGAAATACATCACTTTTTCAACCACCTAGCATTTTTAGATTTGCATTTATTGTCAGAAATCCTTTAAGAATCTCCAGATGGAGATCATGCCTGCTGCAAATCTGACTATTACATAAGAACGTGAAACATAGAATGAGGTTACTGAGCATTATGAAGTATTAACGTTCTGCTGCTTTTGGGTTATTGCATACATAGATTCCAGATGTGTTTACAGCCACAGTAAGCAATGACAATCATAATGTTCATGTCCAGTGTGGTGTTATTGATTATAGACTAAGACTTATGCTCACTTTTTCTATGTTAAATACTGACAGAGCCTGATTTATACCTTTAGAAGTGGCTAACATTTACTGAAGCACCTTAGCTATATTAGTGTCACCAAGGCATCAAAAACATTATATATTGTGCAGCCACGACATATTTAAATATACCTATAAAAAGTCTCATTAGGAAAAAGTACTAACAAAACAGTTTAAGTTGAATTTCTTCACTAAAGAGGACATTCTTGGGCACTTTTGTTGATTTTCAAGATCAGCTTATAGGCTAGAATAGTAAGAATATATAAACTTGATGTATGTGTAAGAATGCAAAACAAAAGAAAAAAAAAAGTGGCTCTCGCTTCCAAAAGAAAAGCTTGCATAAGGAACCTGAAGAAAGAAACATACACGCCAGAATTTAGTCAACCGCTTTTAACTCTTCGGAGAGAAAAAGGACACAGACAGCAGCAGGTGGAATGAGGTCCAGCCTCATTTTCTTCTGAACACCAGGTGGATACAGAGAGCATGCAACCTATGAAATATTGAACTGTTTCAAATCTTTCATATCTTCTCTCAGTGACAGAGAATCATGATCTCCAAACTTACAACTCTTAACAGTGCTGATATGAATCACTGAAGCCTACACTGATAAAGGAGGGTTCATTACATTTGTGAGTCCATGAGTGTCCACAGTGGGCTTACACAACAAGTTAGTGTCCTGCAAGAGGGACATCAGCACAACGGAACCGGGCTGCTCTGTTTTGTCTCGGCAGAGCCCTGGCTCCGGGTCAGGCTGCTTTTCACACACCAGGCTCTCCGCTTCTCTGTAGCCGCTCAGTCTGGACGCGATGGACCTCGTTGGTCTGCTCTTCTTCGGCTTCCTGCCCTCCGGGTCGTGAACCACACTGTGCCGCTGGAGGCTGCGCTTCATGGTGAAAGCCCTCCCGCAGCCGTCATGCGTGCAAACGAAGGGCCGCAGGTTCTCGTGGAAGGAGCCGACGTGGCTCTGCAGGTTGAACATGGTGGTGTAGGAGCGGTCACAGCCCTCTCTGGGGCACTTGTACACGAGCCGGGTGTCGGCGTGGACGCGCTGGTGCTGCCGGAGGAACCACGAGTCCCTGAACACCTTGCTGCAGTGCTCGCACGTCAGAACAGCCCTGTGCTGCTCCTTCCTGTGCTTCAGGAAGTCCGACCAGGTCTTCCCCGTGAACGGACAGCCCTCCTCCGCGCAGGGGTAACCTCTGTGGACCTTCTCGTGCCGCTTCAGCTTGCTGGGGTTGGAGAATCGCTTCTGGCAGCCGTCGTGGGCGCACTGGAAGGGCGGAAGCTGCGTATGCTGCTCACACAAGTGGGCCCTCAGCTGCTTGTTCTTCTTGAACTCCTGGCCGCAGCCCTGGAACGTGCAGACGTACTTTTTCTGCTCGTGAGCGTGCGCGCGGCTGACGTGTCTGCTCCGGTTGGTGCTCGTGGTGAAAGCCTCCGCGCAGCCCTCCACGGAGCAGCGGAAGGGCTTCTCCCCGCTGTGGACGAGCTCGTGCCGGGCCAGGTGGTAAGGCGTGCAGAAGGACTTCCGGCAGCCCTCGTGTTGACACGAGTGTGGCCGAAGTCCCGTGTGTTTACACAAGTGGGCGTCCAGCTTCCACTGTCTGTTGTAAGCAGCCGAGCAGTCCGGGAAGGAGCAGAAGAAGCGCTTGTGCGTCTCTGTTTTGGTTTCCATTTTCAAGTTACAGAAGATGCCGGGGCTGGACACGCGCTTCACCGTCTGACGGCGGTATTTCCGGATAAATTCGACGTAACATCCGACGGAGCACGGAAATTACGTGGGGCTCTGACGTTTGTTGTGTTTTTTTTAGCCGTGTTGCTAAAACACAACTTGTAAGTATATTTTAATATCTCAGGGGAACAATTATTCTCAGTATGAGCTTACTTAAAAATAAAAACCTACTCAGCGACAGTCTTAACTTATTTTATGTTTATCTGGACTTTATGTTTGCGTGCGAAGAAAACGCACGTTACCCGAGAAGCTAACTGCTGCTAACGTTGGCTAACTTTTCCCTTAGACATTAAGGATAAAATCAGCTCCATGTCGGGGCTGCCCAGGCCTTACACAGTATTTGGTGGTGATATTACAAGCAGATATTTTAACAAGAAGGCATAGAGTTAAAAAAAAAAAAAATCTGTAAAATGTGGATCAAGTTTTATATGAAATGGGTTGGGGTTTTAATGCCATGACCTAGGAAATGCTTCACAGTTACAGCTTGAAAAGTCAAAGAAAGCCTCAACTTCATTTGCAAGCCTATTTCTAAACTGAGCTTGAATTATTGTTTCTAACACAATTTACCTATTTTATGTTTAAAGGAGAAAAGTGCTGACCTCCAGCTGTCACTATGGTAAGATGAATTGTTTATAATTCGCTTCTGTCTGTATTGATCCATTTATTTTGACAAATTAACAAAAAATAACTCAGAATAAAACATTAATCTTTATGAAAATGAAGACGCTGACAATGTCAAGTTGACATTGTTTTTTTTCTTCTATGTCTCTATAAAGTTTACTATGTGTTAAAGTCTGTATTTTATCTGCCATCTGCTAAGTTTGAGTCTTTAAATAACAAGTTAAGAAGCTGTCTTCTTCATTTATTTTCAGAGCTTTGTCTGTTTCAGGATGAAATTTGCTCTCCTTTATTGACCTGCTTGTTTCCGGTTTACAGGGTGAAAGAAAAGGAACCAACAAATACTACCCTCCGGATTTTGATCCAGCCAAGGTGAATGTCTGACCTAGCAGTTGTTGTCTAGACGTTTCAGTCCTCTACAGTTACCTGTTTTGCCATTCTTTGTTTTTTAGCATGGCTCCCTCAATGGCTACCATAAAACTCATGCCCTGCGGGAGAGGGCGAGGAAACTGTCCCAGGGCATCCTCATTATCAGGTCAGTACAACGCCAAAAACGTGAAGTGATGTTGCAGTATTATCTTTTCTTTTAATTTCCAGGACTTTCTTCCTTTAATATTTGCTGATATGGTCAAGATTGAGATTACGTTTTAGAACCCTGTAGGAAAATCATTTTTACCCAAGCAACTCAAAAATTAAAACAATAAAAATAGAGTAAAAGTGAATACGAGAAAGTTCTAGACGTGCAGTATACCACAAAGAGTCCGATACAATCAGCCAGATCATTAGTCACAAACAGTCGCAGTAGTGTGCTCTTGAGCCAGCCATGATGAGTGAAGGGAGGTGGTGTTGCTGTCTGGGTTGCTCTGTGCCTGCCTGCAGCAGAGCCTCTCAAACTCAGTCGCATTTAGTTCAGCTCAACTAATGAGATTTCAGTTCAATTCAGCGTAATTACAATGAGAACAGATTAACAATACATGAGGATTTTACAAATCAGAAAATGTTTTGATTTTACAAATCAGAAAATGTTTTGATATATGTAATATTCACCCAGATTGTTTGATTTTTACCTGACTGTTTTTTGTCTGTCAAGATTTGAAATGCCCTACAACATCTGGTGTGATGGCTGCAAGAATCACATTGGCATGGGTAAGCTAAAGTGGAAAAACTGAAACACAGTTATTCAGTCAAACGAGCCATCTTTTTGTTTTTATAAGCCAAGCCATGTGTTTTGCACAGGCGTGCGTTACAATGCCGAGAAGAAGAAAGTGGGAAATTACTACACCACACCAATCTATAGGTAAAAAAAAAAAGCACCAGGCATACTTTATAAAGTGTATTTTTGACAAAAAAATATGCTTTTAAAATAATAATAATAATAAAAAATGCTTCTTTCTGTTCTCACATGTAGGTTTAGGATGAAGTGTCATCTGTGTGTCAACTACATCGAGATGCAGACAGATCCTGCGACTTGCGACTACGTGATTGTGAGCGGAGCGCGCAGGAAGGAGGAGCGCTGGGACATGGCTGAAAACGAACAGATCCTCACCACAGGTAGAAGAGTTGTCTTCACCTTTAGTTTTGCTCCCATTGTTGCCCGTGGGTGCGTGTTTCGCCCCGTTGTGATCGGTTCGTTCTTGCGTCCTCTCGGAGCAGAAAGGGAAGAGAAGGAAAAGCTGGAGACGGACGCCATGTACAAACTGGATCACGGCGGGAAAGACAAGGAGAAGCTCACAAAGGCTCTGCCTTCTCTGTCTGAAATCCAGGACTATCAGGCAGGCTGGAAGGATGACTTTCAGCTCAACAGCTCCCTCCGCAGGAAGTTCAGAGTAAGACGTTAGCTCATTTACTGTCTCCTTAAACTAAATGCAAAATTTGTCAAGGATGAAAAAGATTATTATTTTCAGAAAAGAGATGGCTTGAATTGTAGATCTACATCTGTTTAACCATGAGTGAATAGTCAGTATTTATTTCTGATTCATATTTTCATAATGCTCAGCTGATTTAGTCTGCAGAAATAAATTTTGTTCTATAAAAGATTCAGAATGTTATTTCTTTCCTGTCATAAATCTCTATGACATTTAAGATAAAGTTAATAACTGTAATCTTTGTTTTTCATCAAGTCGTGACATTTAACAAATTATTTATTTATTCGGTAAGCAATCATGAGGTAAACGTTGGTAAAGTCATTTTTTAAGTGTTGCCTTAGTGTTGATTTTTATTGATTTGACAACTCAGGTAGAGAAGAAAGTTCTGGCCGAACAGGAGGAAAAAGATAACGCTGTAAAGATGAGGGCAAACCTATCCATACCACTACTGCCAGAGAAAGAAGAGGACAAAAAATTGGCAGGACTATTAACTTACCAAACACCTGACTGTAAGTGCCACATACAGAAATATGCTCTCTCTTTTTAAATAATTCACAAATGTGTTTATAATTTATTTTTCATCTTTTCATAAATTAACTGCTTAGCTAAATTAATTTTATGTCAAATATCCTCATACATGTTACACATCCAAAACTAGAACTTATTATTCACCAAATAAAAAGATGCATCCACTTATTTTCCAAAGCCGTGACATCATCATCTGGTCTTTTCATAAATTTTTAGCTAATAGTAATCATTTGCTGTACAAGCTTTTGATTTTGAAAACATTAATAAATAAATCTGACATATTTTTTTGTACATTATTGTGCCATTTAGCAAGGCAATTTTTAATATGTCCATGCCATATGTCCTTTAAACATTTACAGAAAACAGTAGAATTAGCTAAGAAATAAACTTAATGTATAATGTTGATACAGTTCTATAACTATACGTAAAGATTTTTGGTTCATGTGTATAAAAATGGATGTAATCCAATTGGCAAAATGTTACTTTTCATTTTTATCTTTTTAAAGCTTATGAGGACAAACGGCACAGCAAGCGGAAAGAGATTGCCTCTCGTTCGTGGTTTAATACCGCCTCCTCTCCAGCGGGAGGCGCTGCAGGCAGCCTGCTCCATAAGCTAAGCCTGCAGGGGAAAGAAGCAGCTGTGGCCAAAGCCCTGGGTTCCTCCCAGAGCCCGTTAATTCGCAGACGCTCCAACGGATCTGGAGCTAAAAACGAACAGTGTGTCACCAGAACCCAGGGAACGTCTCAGCAGGGAGTCCATACATGTGAAGAAGAACCGCTAACACAGACAGAAGGACCTCAAAGTGTTAGGTCTCCTCTAGGACTAGAGAAAAATCACACTAATTCCAGTGAGCTGGTTGCCAAAATTGCAAAGGAAACAGACCAAAGACTGATTGATACTGTGGACTGTGGGAAGGAGAAAGAAGAAAATAAAAGTTCTGTAGGAATCACGTCACTGGTTGCTGACTACAGCGACTCAGATTCTGACTCTTGACTTCGATGTCGCCTAATAACCTAAATGCTACTATTTTTTGATTGCAGAAAAAATTAAAATGCTTATCAGAATTGAGGCAATCTGTTATCGCATGTTGCAAAAGCAATACTATTGTTTTGAGGTACAGAATGCTCTGGAATTAAACTTTATATATATTTTTTGTCATCAGCTGGATGCATTTGTCATCGCCTCAGAATGGATCTGTGAATATTTTACATGCATTATCTGTCTGACAACCATTAAAATATTGTTCTCTTTGGTTTCTCTTCTTGAAGTGAGGTCTGGCCGTGTTTTCTCTCTTTTAAAAACTGGCATAAATTTGCTTCATCATTTCACTTTTTGTTGTATATTGTTAGATCTATTAATGTTTAAAGTGACAATTTTCAGTGAAAATCTGAACTTTGTTGTATTTTCACAGCCAGCAGATATGTTTTCTCATGATAATTATGTTTTCTAGCAGTTTTAATAAAGTTTAGATGAGCTATGGGCAAAATATGGGGTTATCAGGTGCTTAAATAGTAACAAACGAGATACATAATCTGATAAACAAAATTATTGGTAGGTGTCCAGAGCGGGCTAGCTGAGCTAAATTTAACTTTAAGACTGCAAAATATCTTCAGAATCTGAAGTTGTTGTTTTATCTCAGTACAATAACGATAAATCATTAGGGGATATAAAAATCCCCTAATGATCAAGAACCGTTTCTAAACAAAAGAACATGCTGTTTGTAGTGGCAAGAGTCATTTAGAACAGTAAGATTGAGTTTCTGTGTTTTATTTTTCTTCTTTTCCAGTAACAAGTGACACAAGTGACAGCCTGTCCTATGACACATAAACCAGCAGTAAGAGTTGTGTTTAAACATCATGGAGATGTCCGAGTCATTTGTGTTTCCCCTGTTTTGTTTTGTGAACAGAGAAACTGATCCGTTAAAATAATAAGTATTTTGCAATCTCTGCGATTTCTCTTCTCCACAGTGGACCTCTGACCCCTTGGCCAAGCTCAAAGGCTGCTCCTTGTTTGGTTTTTCCGTTTGTTCATAATCGATCGGACTCCCACGGATCGCAACATCTCCATGACTGTATGTTCGATCCCAGTCCTCGGAAGCCTCCGAGACGATCAACATGTTTCCGTGGAAGCTGCAAAACCTTTTATTCCTCCTTCTGTTCTGTAACTCCGATGGACAGATTTTCAGCGGTAACAGAAGACGGTGAGATTTGTATTACACAGGGATTCCTGCTCTTCATATCATCAAAATTTGAATAGCTAACCAAAATGTTGTGTTGCAGCCCCTGGCCTGACAGGTACAGTGTGTTTGCAGATGTCAAGCTGTGTGAATGGTTGCAACATTGACTTCTAAAAGCTTCAGGGAGTATTTCTAATCTTTATCTCCAGAGGTATGACGTTTGATAGCTACTTGGACCTCCATGAGTAAGTAGTCAAAGGCGGTATTATTGTAACACAAGACCTGTAATGTCTGTACCATCATAATTACAATAAAAATACCCAAAAACCTATGAGCGATAAGGCTATGTTTGCAATATCTGATTAATATTCATGTTCGATCATCCTCTTCCAAAGTATTTCAGGGTAGGCCATATTGTTTGACGTATTAAAAACTATCTCTATACCTTTTTAGACCACATTTGTGCAGCACAACATGTTCATTTTTTTCCCCCCCATCATTGAATTTTGTCATGCCTGAAATGACTCTTTGTCCCATATGTTTGCAGTGTACTAAATGCAAAGAAAACCATCGATTCTTCACCAAGGTACTGTTACATCAGAGTAAACAACCCGACATATGGACACATTTGTAACGCTGACAGGATTCTGAATCGTACCTCACATTCTGACGTTTTGACCAAACCGAATGGGAAAAATCTTTACAACAATTCTGGTATTCAGTTTTTAGTACGGTTAATTTTAATATCTTAGAATCCCATCAGAAAGTTGATATATTTCTGTACTAAAAAAAAAAAATAGAAGAAGAAGACTGGAATATTCATTGCAAATAGAGTAATGCACCATGTAGAGCACTGTATTCATGGCTGTGCTGAAAAACATCATAAAAATGCTAATTTCACCTAATGTACCTGGACAAAGGTTCACTTTGGTGGCTCCCGACATCCTGAGGACCGACACCGAAGAGAACATCTACTTACAGGCAGACAACTTGGCCACTCCTCTCATTGCCTCCATCGTCATCCAGGACTTCACCAAAAGCATCATGCTCCTCCAGGAGACGGCCAAACTCGATCAGGAAAATGGCTTCCATGTTATCAAGAGCATAGAGGTGAAATACGTTTCCCTCTGGTACACAGGTTCTAACTCAATAAATACTGGCCCACATTGTTTTCAATTAGACAGGTTTTGCCAGCACAGTTTCTCTATAATACCAGTACAAATGAGCAAAAACCAGTTTAATAGTCCACAAACCATTAGGAATTGTAAACCTTCTGGTTGTCGCAGCTTTCATCCGCGCTCTTGAATCGCGAGGAGAAAAAGAACAAGTTTGTTCATCTGCAAGTGAACTTCGGGAGTTACCACTCGATGGAGCGAGTGCTGATGGTGTCCTTTCATTCTGGCTACATCTTCGTCCAAACCGACAAACCCATCTACAACCCCGGAGACACCGGTGAGAACAGAGCAGAGTCAACACTCAAACACTCAAAGCATGTCTGTGTAAGATGTTAGGTTGTATGTGTACTTGAAACTATGGATCTTTTATTTGCTGTCTTTACCAGTTCGTTTCCGAGCCTTCGTGTCTTCTCCGTCGTTTAAGGCCTTGGACAGCCCCATCACTGTAGACGTTCAGGTAACACCTGGAGACCAAATATTTAAATATAAAGTTCTGCTGCAAAGACAGAGATTAAAGGCAGATTTTCTCTAAACCAGAGTCCTTCTTTTAGTTTCTTTATTTGTTTAATTTAAGGTCTGGTGCTTGTCAAACTTATCAACCACGAGATCCAACAGTCATTTAACACCAATGTTGACCTTTGTGTATCAGAATCCTGACGGAGTGGTGGTCAGTCAGATCTCCAGGACCCGACCCACTCAGGGCGTCTTCGCCGATTCCTTCCCTCTGTCTGACATCGTCGGGTGAGATGAGCGCCTTTGTTTGGCTTGTTCTTCGTTAATCTGACTTTTAATGGTCAGATTAAAAGTACAGACATTTTTGGAGCATTGCAAAAAGATTTCAAAAATTAAAAAAAAGGCAGGTGTTACTTTCAAAGAAAGCTGGAGGTTTTTGTCGAAAACTGAGTTTTTACTCTTAAACCTTTTCCGTTTTATACTCAGAAGTTACTAGAAAGATAAAATAGAAACTCTTGATGTTTGTTGTTTCTTGCAACATCTAAATTAGACTCTTTGTCCATAGTTAATATATTGTGTTTGCCTTGACAGTGGGAATAGTACGGTTGTCTATTTCTCTAAGGAATGTCGTTCTGTTAGGTCAATGTTTCCATCTGTTTACCCAGTGGTGAAACTTTTCTGATTGGTTTCAGTTACAGTCGGCATCCAACCTGCTTTAAGTTGTGCAGTATGGATAGATACAGCGGAGAACATCTAGAGGGCAATAACTCGCTTTGGCAAAATGCAACTGAAGAAATTTAATCTTTTATCAAAGTTGTTCTAGCTTTAGATCAGCCCTGTTCTGTGTTACATGTTCTACTGTCTTTCCCATTTTGATGTATTGTATTTCAGGCTCAACAAAATCGGAAATTATTGATTACCACTGATTAAAAGTTTCTTGGCATTATAACCAGATTATAAAGGTGTTTTGCGATTGGATGGAAACCAGCTGTTTTCACAAAAGTATCACCGTTTAAATTCTGTTTAGTTTATAAATTATTAAACAGTTTTTTCAACCTAAGGACATTTTTGCTTTTGATTTTCCAGACTTTCTGTAATGTGTCTGTGTTACAGTGAAGGAACGTGGCTGTTGACGGCAAAGTTTGACCACTGGCAGCAGAACGCTTTCACCTCCCGTTTCGAGGTGAAGAAATATGGTACGGGAAGAAAATTTGACAAAGTTTGACAAAATCCTTCATGGTTTTATGTGCTGTACTCTTCTAGAATCTTCATCTATGTCGTTTCCTTAATGTTCTACTAGAAATGAGCCCGAAATATTAAGCTTTAGATTTTAATATTTGCTGAAATCCCCCGACAGTCTTAGGAAACGAAGTCATTTGGACCCCATGAGTTTTTTACTCTGTGTGCAGTCCGGTGGGGTCGCACTGATGCCGGGGGTTTTTTCGGTGTCGTTTCTGAAACTGACGGTCTGATGGCACAACCTCCCGTTACATTTCTCCTCACTCCTCCTTAGCATTGCGCTAATCCCACAGGGAAGTTGGTTTTGTATGTTTTTAAATTAATTTTTTTGTAATGGCACCTTCTCCAAAGAAAATGGCTAATCCTTCACTATAAAATTTGAATCATTTAAGCATAAGAAAGGTGCCTACAGTAAGTAATGTAACAGAGAATAGAGTAGAAATATCTTTTATTGACTCACAATGGGGACATTCAAGTTTAACGGCAATGTAGAGGTGTGTACAGGCACATACAAATATCAAAAGTGGTACATTTATATATAAAAAGCACAAAAAATAATAATGTACTGTGCAACATTGTAACGTTAAAATACCATACAGTTATCAGAAATATCATCGAAGGGCAAATCCAAGGGATGTTCAACTGAGTAAGATTTTATTTTTATTTTTTTAAATGTACTTAATGTGCGTTTGTATTTGTGCAGTGAAAAGACAAAAGACATTTTACAATACATAAAAAAATAAAAACAGTGGAAAGCAAATGCACAGTACAACTGGAAACATTGGTTAAAAGGTGTAAAATTGCTTAAATGCCAGCTTTTGTGTAAAAACGAATTGACTGCTGGGAGCAGTGCTGATCATAGTGTCTGACTTCTGAATGAGCAAAAACCATAAGCTTTAAGTTATGAATACATAAGGCAAGACATCTTAAAATAACACACCAATGTCTGAGGCTAAATCCACGGAGATGAATGTAACTTAGGTTTTGTGTAGGTCATGTTTTCAAACAGCTGACCTGTCATTACTTTGTGCTCAAGTTCTCCCTGCCTTCAACGTCACACTGACCCCCAGAAAGCCCTTCCTCAGCCTGGATGACGACCAACTGGTTGTAGAAATTTCTGCAAGGTTGGTCTCGCTCAAACCTTATTGGCTCTCTGGCCAATCTAACAGGAGTGCAAGACAATAACTGTGCAAAACAACCAATTTGTGACTGGATTTCAGGTACTTGTTCGGGGAGCCGGTTCAGGGGACGGCTTACGTCGTGTTTGGAGTGAAACTCAACCAAGAGATGAGGAGGTTACCTGCTGTGAAGCAGGTGTCTGATGTGAGTATTAAAAGAATCGAGTCATAATGCAGTAAAACCATTATAATACTACACGAATTAGGTTGTGGTATTATTGTGGAATAGCCATAATATTGCAACTTTATTCACGTAATGTAGTTTTATTCAACTAATACTATGAATTTATTCTCATTTTATTACATCTTTATTCTCATACAACTTTATCATTGTAATATTATAACTTTGTTCCCTTATGAATTAATTCTCCTGACATTATGACTTTATTTTTGTAATTTTTTATTTTATTTTTACTTTATTGTTGTACCACACCTCTAGAAGGCATTCCCACACCTTTATAATTTAAAACCTGTACCTCCATAAAAAAATAAAAATAAAAAAAAATCTTCACTATCCATAAATGTAACATCAAACCTGCCCAGATGTTGATGTGGATGTTTTCTCGCCCATTTTCTTCACATTTCTCTCCATTTTGAGATCTCATCTCCACCACAAACTGAAACACAATGCAGGTCTTAAAAGCCCAAAACAATTCAAGTTTCTGACTTTCAGTTCATGAGGGAAAACCTTCTGAAGGTGATGTGTTAGTTTTTATGAAGTCAGAAATTCAGCGTTTTTCTTGGTCTGGTGCCTGCAGCTGGATGGAGGAACCGTCACACTGAGCATGCAAGAGCTCAGGAGCGCGTATCCCAACATCAGGAGCTTAGTGGGAAACTCTGTTTACGTCAAAGCCTCTGTCGTCACCAAGACGGGTAGGAAAACAACCTGCTGATCTGTGACCGGCTGCAAAGTTTGGCTTTCATTTTAGACAGATTTTTAAAACGATTTTGATACCATTTTTGATTTATTTCCATGGCAACCTACGCAATGTCGTTTGTTGCCTCGAAACCCAAACTTTCCAGGATGTGGCAATCTGAGCCGAGCTTGTCGAGGTCGCTGGTGTTATCAGAGTTTAAGGTCAGATGTCTATCCACTGCATTTGGCCCAGTGGGAAAGCCAAGTCTTTGTAATAATCAAGTTAGATTTGTTAGTTCTTTATTGGTCATTTTGTATTACATTATATTTGTAGAGAGAATAGGATGTCAAAGCATTGGGAAGTGTGATTTTTGACAAATCATGCAGTGCTGGACACAGCTAACTAAAACGTTTGCTGCGTTACCTGAAAGCACAAATTATGAGCATTAGTTCTGGAAATGCAGAAAAACTATATCGACATGGCATTTAATGAAAGCCAATGCTAAAGCTATAACTTCAGCCGTGAGTCAATGATAAAACAATACATTAAATAAACCTCAACAGAATCTAATTTGTTTCCATTTGTCATTGCACGCATGAGTTGAACCTCAGGAAGCGATTCTTCAGGAACAAACCTTTCACTCCTGGTTTCAGTTTCATCGTTGTTGAGTTTTGCTAACTCTGTTAGAGTTTACTATCTGAAGAGTTTGGTGTGGATTTGTGCTTTTTAGAACTTCTCTGCCATTTTCCAATCCTCACCTCAGCTCAGATGAATTAGCAGGAGGTAGTTTGTGAACTTGAGTTTTCAATACACCGAAGTTGCTCTATTAAATCACTCTCCAGTAAGGTACTTTAGTTTGTTACAGTATGAATAAAATATTTGAAAGACAAGGTGAGTTCATGAAGTTCGGCTTCATGTTCATGTTGCTCTTGTGTGACTCAGTTTCTCACCTTTTCAGGAAGTGATCTGGTCGAGGCGCAAAAGACTGGGATTAAAATTGTAGAGTCCCCATATGTCTTATCTTTTAAAGACGCGCCAAAGTACTTCAAACCAGGAATGCCGTTAGACCTGACAGTAAGGACCATCTTTTGTGTTTTTGCTTATTTGAAATGGTTGTTTAGCTTTGACTAACAACAAAAAAAAAGCAACAAAAAAAAAAAACAAACCTAACAGCATTCATAAACTCTTCCAGATTCAGGTGAGCCAGCAGGACGACTCGCCAGCCCGTAACGTTTTGGTCAAGCTGTCTCATCTGGTCGCCCCACTGACCGTGTCATCAGGCACCGCCAGAGTCAGCATCAACATGCCCAACGTGCAGCTCCCTCAAACTCTCACTGTGAGTATAACTGCACGGGAATGGAGCGTCATGACGGAGAAATGCTGCTGTCAAAGTTAGTTTCTTCCAACCAAATCAAATTGTTTGACGGTGAAGTTGTATCTCGCGGTCAAAGGCCTTTAAAAAAATGATTGACGCAGTTATTAGCTCTGTTGCATCCTGGCGGCATCTTGTACTTTGGGCTGCTTATGCAGCTCGTCTTTAACAGATACTGAAAGATGAGAGCACAAATTGCCGGTTCTGGCTTGATTTTAGTATTTTATTGCTTACTTTTGAGATTTTAAAGGATTTAGCCCAATTATTTCTTCTTAACATCCACACAAGAGGTCTTCAATCAACCAACCAGTTTGTCTTAGGAGTTCCTAAGTCAGAAATCAGAGGCGCAATTTGTGCTCCTAAACTTTGGAAGGTGTTTCCTTTTAATGTCTGCTGAGGCTGTTGACACTTTTAAATCTTTGCTCCAGACCCATTTTTATTGTTTTGCAGCTGATTCCAGTCAGATTCCAAAATCTCTTAACCTGAGAGTTTATGGGAGTATATTTGTCCTCTTGTTCTTGCTTCACGTTATGAAAACTCAGAAATGAGAAACTTTATGCATCCCTACACACATGCACACGTTTCACACTCCCACCAGTGTTTGTGCAAAACACCTCTGTCGTCTGGGATTGTTGCTTTCCAGGCGGAGACGGCACAGGCCGACCTGAAACCGGAGCAGCAGGCCAAGCAGCAGATTGTGCTTCATCCTTACACGACCAGCAGTGGGCAGCAGAACTACCTGTACATCTCCACAGGAACCAACAGAGTGTCTGTCGGAGAGAGACTGTTGCTGCAGTTCACCGTGTCTTTATCTGACCAGTCACACAGAGAGTTCATCAAACTCATCACATATCTGGTGAGATCAAGGAAAATCTTACAAGTTGTGAATTAATCAGGAGTAGGGCTGAAACGATTAATCGTGATCAATCGATAGAAACACTTTGTCTGTGAATGTTTCAGTCAAAACTCCTGGCAAAGTGACAGAGTTTTATCTAAACCTGGTTCAAATAAAATGTTGAATTTTGTTTTATACTTTCAAATTGTAACATGTGTCTAATGGTTTATTAAAAGCGGTTAAATTAAAACTCAATGGAACGTGTCACTTTTTGTTGTCAGTTAATCGGTTAATCTTCAGAAAAATTGATGGAACAATCATTTACTTAGATTATTGTTAGCTCTAGTCTTAGTCTAGGAGTCAAATCTACTAGAATTAAACTCGTGAATATTTTTCCCCAAACCTCTGCAGGTGCTGAATAAGGGTAAAATCGTAAGCGCCGTGCGTCTGGACGTGTCGGGCCAGCTGGTGACCAGGGTTGGGTTGTTGGTCACGGCGGACATGATGCCATCGTTTCGGGTCGTGGCGTTCTACAGCCTTCCCTGGTTGGGGCAGGAGGAGCTGGTTTCGGACTCGGTCTGGATAGACGTGGTGGACGGCTGTGTTGGAGGGGTGAGCGTTCTTCTCAGAGCTGACAAGTTCTGTTTGAATGCTTCGGATTCATGTAGAGAATAAAATTAAAAAATCAGACGTAGTTTGTTTAGTTTGTATGGCTTGATATGCATTTCATTAACAAACTGAGGCTTTAAAGTGGAATTAAACCAGGAGGCAGGAACCAGATTGCATCTGCTGTTTTGATACTTCATCAACTATCGATTGCATTTAAATGGCAGAAAAGTACAGAAAAAAGATGTATAGCTATATTTAAAGTTGTCTTGCTCCTTTTGTATTTTTGTGCAGCTGACAGTTTCCACAGACAGCGTGAAGCCTCACTACACACCCGGGAAAAACTTCCACTTCCAGATCCGAGGGGACCCGGGGGCAAAGGTCAGCCTGGTGGCTGTGGACAATTCTGTGTATCTCCTCAACGGAGAGCGACTCACACAGAGAAAGGCATGTCTTTATTTTTATTCACTTATTAAATCTAGGGAAGGAAGGATGTACATATATACATTTGTAATATGCTGTAATGTTATAAAAATATATATATTTTTGGTCTATGTAGCCTTAGCTTTTTTCTGTGCTCAGCTTTGGGGCGTGGTGGAGGCCGGAGACATCGGCTGCACCAGAGGTGGAGGTCGAGACGCCAAAGGAGTGTTTACAGACGCCGGACTTCTTTACTTCTCAAGCGCCGGAGTCAAAACCGAAACCAGGCAGAGTAATTTGCACACAGCAGTTCCGTTACCAAAACAGAAGAATTAGAGCTCGAAATTGTTTGGAACTGTTTTGTTTTTTTTTAACAATAAGAACCAACAAGTTCAGCAAGATTTGAAAGCAGTTTTAACCTCACAAAATACGTTTTAAAGTACAGGGAAGAAATACCTTGCCACAGAGACGTCGCTTCTGTGACTATTATTTTTATCTATAAAGGATAAAATTTCACCTTCAGTGAAATAACTGATAAATAAAAGTAGCCGCTATTTTGTTCTGCCTAGGAGAGCACAGGAAATGATTTATTAACGAGTGGTGGGACAAGATTCAAATTTGCCAAAGAGTTTATTGTTAGATTGCAATGAATGAAATCAAATTTGATAGCATTTTGTTAATATGTTATTAACAATACTATTTTAAATTCAGAAATCATTCATGTAGCTTCTTTGAAAGTATCCCTCTTTATAAATGTGGACTGTGGATGCTGACATTAGCATTAGGTAGGTCTGAGCTAATCAACATGTTTTACATTAAAATGCTACTCTCAGCTTGAACAGTTTTGTAAAAAGCTAACTCCTTTTTGCATGATTTGCGCAGAATAATAGTCATTCCCAGAGTCCCATCAGATTATTTTTTGAAGTAAAATCAACCCCAGTGGACCAAGAGAAACAAACAAACAAAAACCCCAATTAATCTTGTTACATTTTTGTGTTGCTTTAAATTTTATATATAATTAATTAATTGAGATTTAGTCCTGCTCCTAAGTTTTGCTGAAAGTGAAGCACAGATACTAAAACACATAAAACAACAACACTGCGCACATTCTCAAAATATATTCCTTCCTTCCATCTCCAATGTTTCCCATTTCAGCCCTGCAGTGTCCAGGCAGCACCAGGAGGAGGCGCTCTGCTGAACTCATGCAACGTAAAGCAAGGCTGGGTGAGCCTCAAGATGTTGAGATTTGATTTCAGTCCTGTTTTTAAGATAAAATACACAATACCGGCGATTTTGTTAAAACAGCAAAGTATGATCTTTTTCTTATTTGTTGCCACATCTGAGGTATATGAGACACATAATATGTGAAAAAAATGAAGCTTCTTCACCTCCTCCCTGAGCTACTAGTGTCGTTTGCAAAAGTGCGCTGCTCACGGTCCAAAGCAGCCAATAAGAGGGAGAAGGAAGGTCTCAGTGCTGTCAGTCATGCTCGTGTATGAACCTCTAAACCTGCTAATGGCGGCGAAACAACTTATCATTCCAGGAAAACCGTTTATCTGCCATCATCTGGCCATGCTAACTGACCTTAGCATGTTATGGTGAACTAACTCTAGTGTAGTACACAAGTCTGATTGTCAGCAGTAAGACCCGCCTCCTATCTCTGATTGGTTGTGTGAAAATGAGTGGCATATTTCTCCAGTTTGTATTGGGAGCACTGGGAGAAGGAAGAGGAGTTTGATTTTTTATTTTTTTCACTGATTATCTGACTTATACTCTTAATGATAGCTTGAACAGATATGTAAAATATATATAATTTTTTTAAAATTAAAAGTTAAATACTGCCGCTTTAAAGCAGTTGATAAACCTTCTCAACATCTGTGACCTTTTACTGATAGTTTGTCCAAATTCTGCCAGAACCTCACCAATATTTGAAACTAAAGAAGCTCCTATTATGGACATGTCATGGTGACAGCACAAACAACAGGTTCTGATGTCCCTGCTTGCTCCCTTCCTTTATTTCAGAGAGTCACTATAAGGAGGAGATGCAACGGCGCTGCTGCAAAGACGGCCTGAGGGCCATTAAAATGCCGTACTCCTGCACCCGCCGCTCCCTCTACATCACCGAGGGCCCGGAGTGCATCCTGGCTTTCCGCTACTGTTGCGCCACCTTCAGGGACCAGGTGTTCAACACAGAGATCCCCACCACCCCTCCACCCATGACCACTGCTCCCCCGACCACCACTCCCGCACCGATGCCCACTTTAGATTACCCTGGTTTTGGTTACCATGAATTAGATCTCCCTCGTATTGAGATAAAAATTTATATAGAAAAACCACAGAGGCCTTTGAAAGGTACATACTCAACCTCAACTTTTTCCACATTTTGTTATCTTTTCATTTTTTTTGCTTGCGCAGTTAGTTTGTGTGAAAAACTACCAACCTGATTACATAATACCATCTTATGTCAAGCCACACTACTGCTAAAGGTAGCACATTGTGACAATCGCAGCAAAAAAAAATAGAAAGTCTTAATAGATGAGAAAGGTGTTGATTTGGATGATACAAGTGTTTTTCTTTTTGTGATGATGATAACCCTTTTATGAAAAAACAGTAGATGCCTTCTACAACCACGCAAATGTCCTTTGTGTGCAAGTATTGCTTTTTTCAAACAAGTGAAAATTCTGAATTCCTTTAGTACCAAAGACTGTAGTTAAGTCCGTTTCTGAGGTGAGACCCCTGGAGAGAAACCTGGAGAGACCCCTCGAGACACACCTGGCGAGAGCCCCAGAGACACACCTGGAGACCGACGTAGAGGAAGAAGAGTGGGAATACATGGATCAGACTGAGGTCTATCTTCGCTCCAAGTTCTACGAGTCCTGGCTGTGGCTAGATGTGAACCTGCCGAGTGAGACGGACAAAGACGGGTGAGAGCAGCTGCTGCGTCTGAACAGACGATCTCATCATACACACTGAACTGCCCCTGCTTTTGATTACATTTGTATATTTGATTGATCCCTTTGCACAGAGGCGGTTGGGACAAAATATAGCCTTAAAAAAATTGGGCCGAAATTGATAACGTAATGCAAAAAAACGCAACGTTTGAGATCAAGATAGACAGTAATTCTGGACACACAACGAAATACATGTACTTTCTTTTGCTTTGCCTCTTTTCCAGAAAAAACAACTCTCTTTTTTTCTTTCTCGCTCTCTTTCTCAGCTTTCTGAATGTAATGAAACTGCGAATTTAATCGACAGGTTTGCTTTGAAGAATATGGACAGTGCTTTACCTGACAGCATCACAGAGTGGGGAGTTTTGGCCATCAGTGCATCACATCAGACAGGTAGAGCAGACGTTTCAACCGATGTATTAATCATTAATCAATTCCCCCGTTGCTAAAGGTAGATGACTAAACATGCAGTTGTGGCTCAAATTGTAATTTTCTTTGGCTTTAAAATACAGTAAGTATTTGCAGATGAAGGCGTAAAGGCAGACCAAATTGTCAAGACGTCACAAAAACCCGTTAGATGGTCCGAATCCAAGCAGCGTCTTTAGAAACTCTTTGTTGATCTCCGTGTGACTGCAGGTTTCTGTGTTGCGGAGCCGTACAACTTCAAAACCTGGAAGCATTTCTTTGTCGACCTAAAGCTCCCGTACTCTGTGGCGAGGAACGAGCAGTTGGAGATTAAAGCCGTCATCCACAACTACGGCTACAACGACATGCATGTGAGAGGAGCCCGTTCCTTCACCCTCTTATTTCATCGTCTTCGTTGCCGTTCAGCTTCCTGAGGCCTCTTCTCGTCCAGGTCAGGGTGGTGCTCATGAAGACCGAAGGCATGTGCAGCGTCGCTTTCAAGGACAGACACACCCAGGAAGTGACGCTGCCGGCGGGCTCCTCTGTGGCGGTGCCTTACACCGTTGTGCCACTGGTGGTGGGCAATCTTCCGCTGGAAGTCATGGTGGTCGGCAGAGACATGACGGGAGGCGACCGCATCCGGAAATCTCTGCGAGTCGTGGTGAGTTTCTGACCTTTGGCTTGAAGTAGGTTCCATTTCGGTTTATTGGTATGCAAATAAACGGACTATTTGAAAATGTCTTAGTTTGATTTTACAACAAAATGCCAGCTTGTTTGCTGTCAAGTTCATGTAATAAGTTTCTCTCGGCTCAAACAGATGGACGGCGTGCAGAAGACCAAAGTTTGGAGTGCCGTGTTGAATCCGTCTTCTCAAGGAGGCAGGTCGTCTTAACATCCCTTCGAAGATGCTGCCTCTGCAAGATCTTATGAGAGCATTTGAGTTGTTAGAGATATCCTTTCACATATGCGTTACAGAACATGTGTCAAACTCGAGGCCCGTGGGCCAAATCCGTCCCACCACAGCTTTTTATGTAGCCCTTTAGATTCTGGACTAAACACTCAGCATGCTTCAATATTATTTTATCAATCAAATCAATGACTTTTTTTATCTGCTCACTGCCAAATTATATCAATCAGTTCCTCCAGTTTCTTGAGAATTATTGTAGAAATTCATCAACAAATTTCCACACTTTTTTTTTTGCGCTTATACATAATTGGGAGGTTAGTGCAGATTTCGCTCAAAAATTTTCAAAAACTTTTTTATTGGTATTAACTGCCTCGGCTTTAAGTGATTATAGTACATGATCTATAAAGCGAGGAACAGAAAGTCACATTTACCGCCGTAAATAAGCACAAATATTGCACATATTTCCAAATTAGTTCCACAAACACTTTTATTTTTATTGCAAAAAATCACACAAAGAATCACAAAATCCTGGTGGGACTGAAAAGATGTCAAATAATAATATTTAATTTTAAGAATTCATTTATGCAATAGCAGTTTGTGAACAGGTTTTATCAATACCTTCTGGCCTTTAAGAGCATTCATGATCTTGATTTGGCCCAGAACGAAAATGAGTTCTGCTGTGTTACAGGAACTCAGACGATTCGCATCGATAAGATTGAACTGGAGTCAGTCGTGCCAAACTCTGTGCCTGAGACCTTCGTTAACGTCAGAGGTGAGTCGACAAAGCAATTTAGAAATAATAGCATAGAGAAGCTATTCTGCTCCTTTAAATGTCTCCCTCCAGGCAACGTCTTGGCGGACAGCATCGACAACTCCATCAGCGAGGACTCTCTGGCGTCTCTGATCCAGATGCCCGGCGGCTGTGTGGAGCAGAACTTGGCCTCCATCACTCTGCCGCTCATCGCCACTCTCTACCTGGACCGAACCAACAACTGGGAGAGAGTCGGGGTGGATCGCAGAGACGAGGCTCTCCGATACATCAAGAGAGGTGAGACGGCGATGAAGAGTTGAAGTAGCTTAGTAAACAATTTGTTGATGTAAAGAAATTGAGAAATGAAGGATTTGATAATCGGTATTAGGTACTTGTTGCCTAATAGACCAATAAAAAGTGAATAACACATCCTTTGAGAAACCCAACGCTTTTAAATCATAAAGTAACTGGAAGATAACTTGGAATAAAACAAAGCTTTGCTTTGTGGTCGTATGTTTTTCCTTCACACTGTCAGCCGCTCTCTTAATGCTGTTTCCCTTTAAATAATTGTCTTACAACTCTGTGTTTGACATTGATTTAATTTACTGAGACAGAAAACAATTAGCGCTGAGTGTCCTGCATTCACCATCAGTGTCCTGTTGTTGACTTGGTAGGGATTATTTCTGACGGCTCACTTATTGGTCGCCTGACGCCTGAAAGTTGAAATGTTTCCCTCTGCACTTTTTATTATTTCATGCTGTGTTTTTCTCAGGCTATGAGAATCAGTTGGAATACAGAAGGAGTGACGGCTCATACCCCCCCTACAAGCGTGAAGGCGCAAGTACATGGTAATCCTGCAAAGTTCCATTTTTACACTTGACAGCAAAATCCCAAAGTTAGGAAGTTATTAACTTTCATGCCAATTTTCCATCACCAGTTTTTTACATCTTTGAGCTGATTCCAATTTCTCCTTAAGGATAGAAGCAGGAAGAATACATTTCCTAGCTCAGCTCAGTTGTTACAGCTTAAAGTCAGTCCTTTCAGTGTTTTGTGAGCATGTGTGTCCAAGCGCCTGCCTGTCTGGGTTTCAATTTGCAGGATCACTGCGTACGTCATCAAGGTGTTCTCCATGGCTTACTCGGTCGTCAGCATGAGCGAGCAGCAAGTGTGCGAGCCTCTGCTGTACCTGGTGACCAACAAAATCAGACCTTCAAGCGGCGCGTTCAGAGAGGACAACCCAGTTTATTCCACCACAATGACTGTGAGGCTCTGGCTGGAACACACACTGTGTGGTTCACTGCAGTCTGTCCATTTTCTATTAAACACCACATTCAATGTCCTTCCTGAACTAAAGTTACAGCACTTTTTACATATTTTCAATTATTATTTTTTTTTACATCTTAAAGCACTCAGGTTTAGACTTTTTGTTCTTAAATCTCTTTTTTGTTGTTGTTGTCTTGTTCTGCAGGGTGGTCTCCGTGGTGACGACCCAGAAATAACCCTGACGGCTTTTGTCCACATTGCGATTGCCGAAGCCAAGAAGGCAGGAATTAGCTGTGGCGGGTCCGATGTGGAGGTAATTTACGCACAAATGTGTATCTATTATTGCTGTTTAAAGTGCCTTAAATTTACTTTTCACAGCTTTGCGTAGTTTTTAAGGAAAGGAGCTGTCCGACCGACCTTAAGCACACGAATCGCAAAATCACTGTCATTTTCCATCCAACATGTTTTGTAAACAATCTACAGATAAATAAATACATTTTGTTTTTATTATTAATGAGTTCTAACAAATCTCAGATATTCACAGAAAAATTGGATTTACATTTACATTTACTTACACACCAGGGTGAACCTTATTTACTAACTAGATGACCCCTGAAGGGAATTATCATCTGACGGGCCGAAACATGACGTGCCTAATAAGTGTGTGATGTCGCCTTCCTCAGTCGGCCACCAGCAGGAGCTCCCAGTTCCTGAGTAAAGCCCTGCTGACTGGAGGGAGGAGGCCGTACACGGTGGCCATCGCCTCCTACGCTCTGGCTCTGCAGGGAACACAAAACAGCCTCCATCAGCCTTTGCTCCAAGCAGCGTCTCCAGGTACCTCACGCTCCAGCAATATGAGATTTGATGTCGCATCCGTTATTGTTGCTTTAATCGTTATTTTTAGCGACAAGTCAAATTCTTTTGCACAATGTTAAGGGAGTTGATGTATCACCCATTTCTTTTCTTCTCTATTGTAGGATGTGCAGCACGTTTTTCTTGTTTTATTCTTTGCAGGTGCATAAACTTACTTACTTTAGGGCTCAGATCCGAACCAAAACCTCCAGCCCAACCGGGCTCGAGCCCACACGCAGCGTGTCCAAGCCTGACCCAACTTGATTCATTATTGATTTTGGGTCAATAATTACAATTATAGAGCCTGAAGTCAACCTGACATGACGTAATGATGGTTTTAGACGACCTTGTAAGTGGCAGCAGGCCTTCACCTGATTTTATCGTCTCCCAGCTCCAGTTTGTTGCTGGTCGTAACTGCAGGGTGAATCGTGTGCAAGTCATCCGGGGTGTGTGACTGATAGGAGCGGAGAAGGACGCATGCAGTGCGCTGCGCTTGTCACAGTCTGATGAGGTTCTGCTCCTTACTTAGTATCAAATCTTCTATTCACACTGAAATAAGTAGATTCACACAACCGCGTCGCATTTTCTCCTTTGGTTTCCACTTTTCTGTCGGCTTACTAAACAGAAGTCGAGTTGGACTTGGCCTGAGTTTAAATGTACATTTCGATTCGAATGTAAATTTAAACTCTACGGTACTCATCGTCTACCTTCTGCTCACTGACGTAGATAAGAGCCACTGGCCTGACAAGGAAAACCACCTGTTCACTCTGGAAGCGACTGGCTACGCTTTGCTGGCGCTGATAAAGTTGGGACGCATGCAGGAGGCTGCGGCGCCCTTCAAATGGCTCAACGGTCAGAGAAGAAGAGGAGGAGGCTTCGGCTCCACTCAGGTACCAGCGCGGACCCGTCTGTTATTCCCTCGTAAAATATTTAGATAGACCTAAAATATTACATAGTGCATTAAAGGCATCTATATATATATATACATATAAAGTTATGCTCAAAGTCCAGATTGTGATCTTTTGTTTTCACCACATTTTTTTCTAACTGGAAATAATTTGAACTTTTCTGACTCGTAGTGGAGAATCTGTGGTTAAAGATTAGGGTGGTGGTAATGAGGCCTTCCAACTGCAAAGGCAAAAATAAATCATGGAAACATTCAAAAAGCTGGTCAGTAATAATTCCGCCAAAAAGGTTTTTCTCAGTAATTATTGACTGAATGATCTTCTGAGGTTTCTTTTTTTTAATTAAATTGGAATAAAAGTAGGGTTTGTGTTTTGCAAATTTGTTTTTCTTTTATGCTCTTTGATATTTTGAGTGTCATTTCATATGAGAAACAAACTTTTTGGCTGAATCACAGTAACTTTTCACCTAAATCTGAGTAAGTTTGAGTCAAACTGAAGGCAGATACAGACATTTTTTTTTTATTTAAATGCAGTGACACAAAAAAATGACACCACTTTTGAAATAACTTGAAGCTATTAAATGCTTATTTGCATTCCGTATATTTACTCTGTTTACCACAAATCAAAATCAGCTCTTACTTATTGACTCGGACAAATTAAATGTGCAAAGAAGACAATATTGGTCATATTCTGTGGCAGAGGCTTTAGTAGAAATATATTTTTCATCCCTTTCTCCTTGCAGTCCACCATGGTTGTGCTCCAGGCTCTGTCAGAGTACATGATCAGCCAGCCTCCGCCTGCTGACCTCAGCCTGAACGTGGACATCAGGATGACCGGACGCAAGGAAATCCGTTACTACTTCAACCCAGACACCGCCTACGCTGCTCGCTCCTCTAAAGTCAGTCATAATTTGATGAAAACTGATTTTTTTTTTCTCAGTTTTATTACTGAACCGCCCGCCTTTGCTACCTGTTTCTCTGTTTAGCTGCCTGCTGGTGTCGACATGGAAGTGGAGGCTCAAGGGAACGGACAAGGAATCCTGGAGGTATGAAGCAACATTTACGAAGCCAAATCTCCTTATATGAAAGTACGTCTGAGCAAGATAGAACCTAAATTCAACCTCAGGTTTTGCAGGAAAACCTGTTGTCATTATATAGATACATTACACACAGTATGACATATGATATTTGAAATAGTCATTATTGTTACTTACTGCTCACAAAAAATCCAGCTTCTATGAAAACATGAACTTTACATAAGACCAGTAATTTAAAAAACATTCGCCATAAAACTAGAACTTTTAAATATGAAGATAGTCTTAATGTATTACAATATAAAAGATGATAACAGTGTGACAAACATATTAATGGAAAGTTGAGCAGAAGGAAAAAACAAGCTTAAACAGCAGATATCCACTCTGGAATGAACGACTCTGTTTTGGAGCATTAAAAATAAATAAACCACACAAGGTTTTAAATCCAAAGCATGCATCTTTGAAAGGTTTTTCTTTCTTTAATTTGTTCAACTTTTCCCTCAGGTTGTGACTCATTACAACCAGCTCCATGAAGTTGAAGAGAAAACACCCTGCAGCCACTTTGAGCTCAGCGTTAACATCGAAGAGTCCAGTGGTAATTGAACGCACCGTCTCTCACGTGCAGACCTTTTATCTTTCTTCGTTTTAGCACAACTGGAGGCTGAAAAAACAGTTTTAATGATAAATATGAAAGTAATTGAATTGTGCATTAAATTATTTGTATTGTTTCCATTTTAAACCAGAAAAGCCTCCAGCTGATGTAGAGAAATCCTACCAGATCACCATCAACGTGAGGTGAGACTTTCTGAGACATTTTATGGGTATTTTCAGAAATAATGACACTTTAAAAAAGGCTTTTGTATTTTTTATTCCGTCTTTGTTGTTGTTTTTTTTCCCACATTTTAAAATATCTATGTTTGGCTGTTGCTTGCAGATCTTTGGGACCCAGAGACGTCAGAATGGTGGTTCTGGACATCAGCCTCCCCACTGGCTTCACCCCAGAAAACTCAGACCTGGAAATGGTAATAAACCTTTTACCACGGTGATTGGAGGTGGATGAAGAATGACACAAATATCCCATACTGTGTTATAACAAAGCTACTCAGATCTGAATTGTTAACGTTGGTTTTGTTTGTTTGTGTAGCTGTCCAACTCTGTGGATCATTACATCAGTAACTTCAAGATCGTAGATAATCTGAGTGACAGAGGGTCTCTGATCATCCACCTGTTCAAGGTAAAACAGAGTTTATTTACATATATTGCCGGATTGCAGTGAAGGAGGCTGAGTTCATCCAAAAGCTTCAAAAGTGCAGCTGTTAATGTACTTTCTTTTATTATATTTTTAATGTATTTACATAGCAATCTCTTGACATCTTCTAAAATGTTACATATTGCAAGGAAAGTTCCTTTCTTTTAGGCTCCAAGCAGCATTCTTGATAGCACAGAGCAATATTTTGTTATGTTTCAGGTTTTCTTTGTCGCACGAAATCTTTGTTCTGTTTCCGTCTTTCAGGTTTCTCACAAAGAGCCTGAAATTCTCATCTTCAGGCTGAAGCAGACCTTTAAAGTCGGTCTGCTGCAGCCGTCTTCTGTCACTGTTTACGAGTATTACAACCCCGGTAAGTAAACATGCTTCACACACACAGAAATGGATTTGTATTTTTGCAGTACGTGGTCATAGTATTCATTCCCCAAAACTGCTACAATTTGTCCACGAAATTCTGAAAAGTAGGACATGTTTTTAACCGACTTTACTCTGAATTTATGTAACTTGTAAATAATATCAACCACATAAAACCCCAATCAAAGTTTAGTGCTGCCGTGTGACAAAACATTAAATGTCCAAATGTTTTGAGATAAATAAAAATATCTGATGGCGCTACATCATAGAACCACTAGAAAAGACAAATACTAATCATTTTTTCTCTGATTATGTTTTATTATTATTATTTTAGGTCAGTATCTTTTGTCCTAAATACAACATGTCAATGTTTGCGGTTGCAACTTGACAAAAGTATAAACATACAACACCATACACAATTAAAACTTTTGTAAGGCAGTTTTCTTAATTGCCAGTTTTGAAATCTGAAAGTTTATGTTAATCCCAAAATACGAGCCTTTCTATTGGTCACAGTGCGAAACTGTTGCTTACATAATCGATGTCTTTTAGATTTGTAAAAGCTCCCTCCTCTTTCAGATCACCGCTGCAGTCGTACCTACTCTCCCAGGGAGGACCAGGAGGAGCTCAGCAGGATCTGCGACAACAACGTCTGCCGCTGCACGCAGGGTAGCTGGTGACGGCGTCGCAGCTGGAAAAGAGCACATATTTACGGTTCCTTCCATAAATTCGACATCGCACTTTGTGTTACTCTGTAGGCGACTGCTGTATCTCGAAACCTGAAGATCAGAATTTCCCCAACAAAGAGAGAGAGATATTCGCCTGCACAAGCTTGCACCATGGTACGACGCGCGATTTCAGACACACAGCTGGTGTTTCTGAAATCAATTTATTGAAGAACTTCAGCCACCATAGTGTTTTGACTGAGATAGACACTCAACCACAGAATACACATTTTTACTAAGTTTGAACCATTTTCATGTTTATATTAAACATTGAATCTGTTTCAGTTTGGCAGGTGAAGGTGCTCAATATGAGTCAGAGCTACTACGATAAATATGAGATGGAGATTACACAAGTTATTAAACTTGGTGAGTGGCAACGATTGTAGACAAACACAGAACATTGTGCTGGTAATGAACAACCAAATGGAATATCTGTCTGTCCGTCCGTCCACTACGAAAATCCTAATTTGATGGTTTGTTTTTCTTTTTTGTTACCTGCAACCCCTCAGGTGTTGAGGCTGGAGTTGAAGTCGGTCAGAAGAGGTTTTTCCTGTCTCATGGTGGCTGCAGAGAAGGGCTCAACCTCAACCTGGGCTCCCAGTATCTCATCATTGGTCCTAAAGAGGACCAGTGGACCACTGACCCCGGCAGCAACGGGTGAGCCAGTACAATATTCTCAGTTCCAGTTAGCATAGCAGCACGTAAACCCCTCATAATTGCTGAGTGAGCCTGAAATATAAGACTAAGAGTGACATGTTGTTATAGTAGACTGAGAACGTTGTGTCACCACTGATAAATTTCAGTACAGATAGTGAATTTAATGCAAAAGTGACAACATTTCACAATAGATACAGTTGAAGAGCTGTGACATTTTTGAGGCTTAGGTTGTCATAGGAGGTGGAAATTCCTGCACTCTGCGCTAAACAGCTTTTGACTTTTGTTTAGAATATACACCAGATTATTTTCTCTAAATAAGGTCTGCAGAAATAAAACAAAATTACTCAGAAATTCTCTAAAGTAAAAAACAAAATAACGACCAAACCTTTTAAAAGCTCTCCACTTCCCACTGGATGTCCATTTGAGAAAAATAAGCTGTTTAATTTGACTGTTCCTGGTGTGGCGAGCTGTCAAATGACGATGACGTGCATTAGCAGCGCTGACGGGGGCTAAAGTCAGATTTCATTTCTAATCTATTTTCATATTTGCGCCCAGGTTTATCTACATGCTGGGGAAGGACACCTGGGTGGAGCGCTGGCCTGCAAGCGCAGAGTGTTCCAGCAATCCCAGCATGCAGGCCAAGTGCAAAAATCTCTCTGACGCTGCAAACGAGCTGTCTGTGAACGGCTGCAGGCTGTAGTTTCAGCTGTCCTTCATTTCAATTGTACGTCTACGAATGCATGTCTGTGAGAAGCTAAAAAAGATGAAGTAAAAGAGTGCTGCGCTGTCTGATAACGTTATATGTGTTGGGGTTTTCTGAGTATATAATTAGACGTGGGGAACAATGAGGGAGAGCAAGAAAAAGCCCCACCCGAGAATCCTGTCGGCGTCTTTTTAAAGAAAACAAATGATTAAAAAAAAAAGAAGAAAAAAACACTTAAACCGAATTCATAATCTGTGCTCTGATACAGAAAAGATGTATTGTGTATTAGCACAAATCAAAATACCGCACGCTGACATGTACTCCAAATATAGAACATTAAAAATACAACTGTACCATTACTTCCAGTTTTTCTGAAATCGATTAGCTTCCTTTATTTGTGTAATTTGATTTAGTGAGTGAGAAATCAACAGACATGTGTAAATCAACTCTAAATGTACTTGCAAAAGAGGAAGTTTTAAAATAAAATGGTTTGTTGTCAGGCTAAGCGAGACAGACGAAGCGCTGTAGCTATCAGAGCAAAGTTCCTTCCGGTTATTAAATTTGCATTGCTGCTAAGATGGCGGTAAAGTCAATATGATGTACTCTACACAAACTTCAGCTGGTGGCCTTATTTGGTCATTCGAGAAAAACACATCCTGATCGTTTAGACAAGAATGATTATTTACCAGTAGTCAAGCGTTTCCTTTTTTAGATGTGTTCAGGCGTGTGAGTCACAGTAGTTAAATTCAGTCTCCAATAAGCAATATGTTTAAAAGAAAAAAAAAAAGAAAGAAAAATCCGCAATGCAGCTGTGAAAGGATGTCAGCGTTCACAGATCACAGCACACAGTCACTGGTTCGTAAAGCGACGGACACAAAGGAAGAAGGCAGTGATGACAATGATATAATGTAGATTTATATGGTTTAATCTAGAGAAAAAAGGGGGGTCCGTACAAATCTATAACAGCAGTCGCGTTGAGACGTAACAAACCGGCACCCGACTTACGGACTCCTGTATCAAATCTTCTCAGTTACAATCAACAGTTTGTGACAAAAACTGTAATAAAATATATAAAAAGCTTACATTCTTGTAGACATGATTTCTGCTTCAGATCAGGTTTTATACCTGTGCAATGGTTTGGTGAGCTATTCCAGCAGTGAATGGAAGCAACTGAAAGTCTCACATTTGAAGACACAATCAGTCTTTTTTTAACACAAGCGCATGCATTTGGGCTTCAATAATGTAGCTATCAAGACACAGCTAGGATACACAGTACAGTTCATTTTATTATAATACTTTTTTAACTTCAAGCAAACTGTGCACATGTAAAGGAAGTTAAAATGATTATATACATACAACCTGTTGTTCATTTAGCATCAGAGAGTCATCACTATATTTTACGACTAAAAAAACGGTCTTAAGAAATGGGGTCATTTGGATCCCACAAGTCTTTTACTCTGTGCACGGTCCGTTTATTTTTGTGTGTGTGTAGTTTCAGGAACTGACGGTCTGACGGGACAACCCCCTCACTGTCCAACCGTGACATTAATGCTAACACCATGGTAGCGTTAATGGTCTGACTGTGGACTTCTCGAGCTGGTGCAAAGCTCTTACTCTCAAACCTGTTGTTGTTAAAGCCGACATTCATTATAAGGCTGAGGCGTTATGCAGAAATAACTGTGAAATGGTCCTGGGGGAAAAAGACAGACTGTTTTTGTGATCTTGTCATCTCATTACCTCAGATCTGACACCAACGTTTCCTCCTTTTTTGGGAAAGTTTGAGCCGTCACTCACTGATTCTTTTTTCATCCTTTCAAAATCTTCCCAATTGAAAAGTCTTTTGTTTTGTTTTCGTCAAAACAATTTGTTTTCTATTTCTATTTCCAGATGATGTCTTCTCTATATATATGGTGTTGCACTCTCTTTTTCATTGTGACATAAAGCAACATTTGTTGAATTGTCCTCTTTTAATAATAATAATAACAATATGTGTCAAAGGGAAGCTCAAAGCAGAAAGTTCATTCAATGGACATGTTGGTCCATCCTAATGTTTACTTGGAGGCTGATTGCCGAAGCTGCAGGTTATTATAACGACAAAAGAACAACTGGATGACCACAAATACGTCTACAGCTTAAATATTAATTATCCTGTTTCGGTCTTTGGATTTTATTTACCATGCTGTATAAAACATTTGGATCATCTTTGGGTTCTGGGTTTTCAGCTCTGAAAAGAAAAAAGAAATGAAAATGCAGCATGAATTGCTTTGATAGAGTGATTTGTAAATGCTTATTTTTCTTGATAAAGCAAGACTGTACAAACAAATCTAAAAGAGAAAGCCTCTAATCTTTCTACGCTAAAACATATATTTAGAAGACACAACATTTCACAAATGTTTTCTCTTCGCAACACTTCGCCAGCTTAAGGAAACTTTGTCTTCTGTAATAATTTAAATGTGCTGTTTCTTAATGTTTACCGAGCACGATGTCAACGAGAGATACTTACCTCGGGCTAAACTTGACAGCAGTGTATTCTACGTTCTGCTCTCCCTCTTCCTCCAGTTCAGCTGTGCCGGTTTTACCAGGTTTAAAGTTTTCATACACGGGATTGCTCTGCTTCCTCAGGAACCGGATGCTGGCATATTGAAGGTCTTCCTGTGACTTCACCACGCTGTGTTGGCTCTGCAGGACCAAATGCGTTTCTCAGTCAGTTATAGACTCTCTTGTCAAATGGAGTCGTGCTTAAAAGAGTTTACTGGACACAGAAAACTGTTGCTGTACTAACGTTTCAATGACAACTACCTGATTTAGATGGCTGCCTGTCACTTTAAAAGATGCACAGCAAGGGAAAATAAGTATCGAGAACATCAACGTCTTACTCAGTTATATCTACACCGTGTTCCAAATTATTGTGCAAATTGGATTTAAGTCTCATAAAAATCTATTTTTTGTTGTGCTATAAAATTTATAGATGGTATTGTGTGTCAGGGCTCTTTGAATCACAATCATTAATTTCAAAGAGCTGGTTGATTAGTTTGTCTGATGAGCTCAATTAGAGGAAACCTACTTTAGAAGGATGTTCCACATTATTAAGCAGGCCACAGGGTTCAAGTAATACGAGAAAGGAAAATCATCAGCTAGTGTAGTGCCATATGACAAGGTATGAAAACATTAGATATTTAACAAAAACTGAAGCGCTATTATCGTACTGTGAAGAGATTTGTGGCTGATTCAGAACAAAGATGGTTTGTACAGATAAAGGCAGATAAAATCAGCTGATATGAATTGGTACTAATGAGAGCAGGTTTACTGTTTTAAACCCTGGCTGATTTTATTTGAAAGTTTCTTGTGTTCAACACTTATTCTGTAATTCCAGTTTGTCTGCGGTCCAGTGTGATCGCACCGAACCTGTGTGCTATTGCATTTTTAACATTTTGTGTAGTTTCAGGAACTGATGGTCTGATGGATCAACCTTCCCTGATGTCTGATTGTGACATTTGCTGCTCAGACTGCGAGAGGATTCATGCACTTGTTTTTTTTTGTGTCTTTGTACATATCGATTCGGTTTGTTACCACCATATTGGTCGATTTTCACTAGAAAAGTACAACTAGAAGCGTATTTACCGAGATATAATGTTGATGGCACTTAATCTCTTAAAGAAAACCAAGCGGCACTGACTAAACATATTTTTTTTAATGACATATTTATTATTACTGACCTACCAGCCCTGGTGCTTTGCTCCGAGCTCAACGCAGAACTTGCTAACTTTTTTACCGTGTTATTAACACTCCAATAACTTATTGGAGTCAAGGTGAGGTTATACCAGCCTCTTATTTCCCATCTGACCTGCTCAATGTTGTTGAGGTTTCCTCCAGGCTTAGGCGGTGGTGTTGATGTTCTCCACTTTCTAGAAAAAATAGAAAAATCATTTATTGTTCCTAAAAATAACCGCATGGTAACAGTACCTATATATAAAAAAAGTATTTACCCCCTTTGACGTTTTACTCTATTACTTTTGCAAATAAATTATGATAAACAAAATGAAAATTTTTTTGACAATATATGCCAAATACCTTCCATTATTTATAATGAGTTTAATGAAAGATTTTTTTGTATCCATCTCCTGACTTATACTTTCCAATAATTTATCGGAGTGTTCCTTTGACACCTTTTGAGACACAATCACTCATTGTGAGACTGCTAGCCCCAATAGGCCGGAATTAAGTCTGTGGCTTTAACAGGGTGAATATTAACACAATTGCATTTTATGTTTCATGTTTTTAATTTATTGTCATTACTCTCTAGAAATCAGTTTTCACTTTGATATTTAAGGGTTTTGTTTTGTTTTATTTTATTTGTAAGAAAAAAAACCCACATTTTGTTGACCTTGACTGATTTGTGCAAGTGTTAAAAAGTTAAAACAGCCAGAAGGGTAAATACATTTTATGTACTGTAAATGAAAGAAATATAAAGATTAAAAGGTTAACTTACCTTGATATTAAGAAGACAAGGAGAAATATCGTAATCAGCAAAATGCAAGCAATAATCCCAATGACTACGAGCTTTGATTGCCCTGAAAAGAAAACACATTTAGACTTACCAAACTGAATTTTTTTAGAGTCATTCTACAATCTAAAATTCAATCCGAGTTTTTGTTCTGTATTCTCTGTTTAGCCTACAGTTTGTACGCTAACTATGCCTGGGATAAAGGTCATATAAAGGTCATTGGATGATTTAAAAGAGAAATGTTTACCTTCTACAACAGTCACAGATACAGAGGTTTATGATGTCCTATCTTGTTCTGGACTTTACAGTGATAGATCCCACGGTGTTCAGTTTGTATGTTGGTGATGATGAAGCGTTCTCCTGAAGATTCTTGTTCCTCCTTTCCTTCCTTGTACCAGGTGTAGTTAGCTGCTGGGTTAGCATCACTGCTACATGTCAGAGTCACGGAGCTGCCCACCATGATGTCACCAGACGGACTCTGAGACACTGAAAGAGATCTGGGAGCATCTGCAAGACAAAGTAGTATAATAATGTCAGAAATATAAAGTTTAGTTAGTGGAAGACGTTCTTTAATGTCCGACTGCTTACATGCAACGTCAACATTGACACTTGAGTTTTTTTGTCCCCTCTGGTTTGCGGCTATGCAGTAATATTGCCCAGAATCATTTGAACTAATGGAGCTGAAGATGAGATTTTTGTTTGATTTCAGGGGTTTAGGTCTTTTCCCCTGTACCAGGTGTAGCTAGCTGCTGGGTTAGCATCACTGCTGCAGGTCAGAGTCACCGCGTTTCCCTCCTCCACTGATCCAGAGGGCTTCACTGACACAAAACAGTTTCTTTGGACCGTCTGAGTGAGGAAACAAAATGAAACCTGAAGTTGGATTTGTATGCTTCAAACTATATCATAGGATATATTAAAAGTTTATTTATAAACTGGTTACCCAGGAATTGGAAGAATAAAACTTTGCCTCACTGTCTAATCTACAAACAAACACCCAATTTTCTGTTTTAATCTGAATAATCAAAAAATTCAGACAGGAAAATCTGAAGGCCACGCTTGAAACTGAAAACATTTTCAACTTCCTGTCAGGACTTTCTGATTAATCCAGCTCAGAATTACATTTTGACAAATCTTTTGTGAAAAGGTTGAAAAATGTCGTTTAGTTTCTACAGAATCTACAAAAAGTCTCTATTGGATTTGACTCACATTTCACGTTAATATCGATACTTGGAGACGTTCGGCTGCCAAGGTCGTTTTCAGCTGTACAGTAAAACCTCCCAGAATCAGAGACCTGGATGGAGCTGAAGACTGCTTGTGTTTCTGTTGTGAGAAGTTGACCATGTTTCTCTCCATTCACCCTGTAAAAGTTGTATTTAGCTGCTGGATTAGCATCACAGCTGCAGTTCAGAGTCACTTCAGAGCCTTCAACAGTTTCTGAGGGGGTCACTGACAGAACGGGGGTCTGTGGAGCGTCTGGAGAAAACGAGAGAATAATACTTCAGATGAAGCTCAGAATCCCAAATATCAATACATTTACAAATATGTAGAGATAAGTGTACTAAACTTGTGGCATCGCAT